TTGTCTACGCAATTTACGTAAGCCAATGAGCAGAGAGGAATTATCGTGTGGAGGACTAATGAATTAATTGGTTTCAGCAGTCAAATAAACAAGTACGTCGTCTACTCAGGCGTGTTTGAGGTGTTTGTTTCAAACTTTTCATAGACGAGAGTAAAAACAAACAAGCTTTTGGTTTAACTTCCAGCGGAAATGGAGCTCCACGTACTGAAGGAGGCAGCACTGTTGTCATGGGTAACGTAAACCTTTTAAATATATAGCTATCGTAGTCAGGTACCTTAACGTTGGTGGTGTTTTTACGTTTCAAGACGGCTTTTATTATATTATTGGGGTAAAGTTGGTATTATATTCACATATTAAGACTGTCCCTCTTGATATCGTTTCAGTAAAGTATTATTGGCAAATTCTAAATGAGGAAATCATATTAGTAGCCAATCGCTAACGATATCAAAGTAACGTTTACGTTGTTTTCGCGTTTAATAAAATAGTTAAGCTGATTTAATTATCGTGACGTATTGTTATAAGCGCAACATATCATATTTGTTACTGTAATTCGAGGTTTAAAGGGGGGAGGAAGCCTATAAACACAATTAACGTTATCTCTATGGAGGTTCCCTATCTTGTATTGTTTACCGTGATGTTTTGAATATGGGGTATGGAATCGCTTGTAAGTATGACTTCAAAGCAATTTAGCACTATTTAATTGACTGAACAATGTTGTCTATCTATTTTGATTGTCATTGGTTGCTAATATATTGTCGGTTTTCAGAATTTGCAAAGAATACTTATCTGAAATTATATTAAGGAGGTGAAAGTATGAATGTGTGCATATTAAACCAACTTTATCTCAGTGTTTAATTTTGTGTGTGTGTGTGTGTGTGTGTGTTTTTTTTTTTTGGAAAGATCAACAGTGTGAATCCTCAGGAGCCAATAACTAGACTTCTTCAAATGATGGACGGTCACCGACTCCTAAAGTTTGCATATAAAGTGTGAGCTGTGATGGTTGTGATTAATATACCTTAATTTCAAATTATTTGAGAGGTTTTGTCCTAATTTTGGTTTGTTTGAACAATTCTTTTTACTCCCTTTTTACTATTTTCATTCATTCATTCATTCATTCATTCATTCATTCATTCATTCATTCATTTTCTATCAGTGATGCACTGCAAAAGACAACAACTCAATCTCCCTATTTATACTATTTTATTATATTATTTATTATGTTTGCGATTTCTATGTGCGCATATGTGACCCTGGACCACAAAACAAGTCATTAGATGTTTGTTCATATGAAAGTATTATGCATTTATGTGCGCCAATGTGATTCTGGACCACAAAATGAGTCATAAGGTTAAAGTTTTTAAACAAATTTACTATAAATTTACATTATTGGAAACTTTAACAGGGTCAGTTTTTTGGAAATGTAACTTTATACATTATCTGAGAGCTTAACAAGTATGCTTTGCCATTGATTTTTGTGTTTCCATTGTTGGTTTATTGTGATACAACTATGTGAAAATCTGGAATATGAGGGTTAAAAAAATCAAAATATTGAGAAAATCTGTTTTAAAATTGTCAAATTAAATTCCTAGAAATGCATATTATTAAATTTTTATTTAAGTTTTGATAGACTTAAGGAAGAACATTTACTGAAGCTGTTCATGAAAGCTGACCTTTATTTAATATTCAAATTATTTTTGTCATAAAATAAAAATCTTGACTCATACATTGAATTTTATGTATTACTTTAGCCACAAATATATCTGGGCAACATAATAGTTTTGTCATCCAGGATCATGTTTTATAATCAAAAAATTAAGTTATTTATATAGATTTTTTATTATTTGGAAGTGCCATATTAAGTACACATGCACAAAAGTAAATTAAGTCCTGTAATATTTAACAACATTTTATATTTAAGTTTTTATATAATACTATAAAATATTATAATATATATAATATTTTATATTTATTTTTGTTACCGCAACATTTTTAAAAGTTTGTAGTGTCTTGTTTCTTCTTGTAGACGTTCAGTTTTGTTCCAAGCTTATAACTCTAACACAAACATTTTTAAATCCGTATGTAGAATTTATATGAGTTGGTTGACAAATATTGATCAAAACATTTCAGATTTATTTAGTTTAAATTACAACTTTCAGAGAATTTTAAATACTAAAACAATCATTTAATAAAAACTGATATTATATCAAAATAAATTTTTTTTTGCTTAACAAATTGCATAGTTTATTTAATTTGCAAATGAAAAGCATATGTTTAATAAATAAATTCTTAATGTGTGTCGTCATCTTTCATAGGCAAAGAAAAGGGTTCTGTGAAGATGTATTGCTGCAATCAAGTCCTAATGTGATGGAAATGACCTTCTCGCTGCTACACGGTTGGTATTAAACCCACACCCGCCCAATCACTCTTGAGTGGCTCAGTGGGTAAGGAGCTGGACTGTGGCTCTGAAGGTTGTGGGTTTGATTCCGGCTCAGAGCAGTAAATGTGGAGTCTGTGGTTAGTCCCAGTGTGTGTCTGCAGATTGGAGTAGTGCTGCAGTCCTGGACACCACATAGAGTGATGCTGGTTTCTGCCGACAGGGCTTGTAGAGTCCTTGGGCTCCCTGTGCGATGGTTCCACACATTTAACCCCTAAATTTAATCCCAGCGAAGCTTGCACCTGGTCACTTTAAGACGCCTTTATAAGTAAAAGTCACAATACAACATGTGTTATTCTGTTAATATTGAGTGTCAATTCAATATTAAATAGACGTAGTATTATATGAATAGACCTAATGTAATATTAAAATACCTTTATATAGAAAAATATGGCTGAGAACCGAGCAGTTGAATGTGAATAATTTAAATGCGTTTTTGAATCACCTGTCCACTGTAAACGACTGTAGAAAAACACATACAGTTTTATTTATTATTCTTCAGGACCAAAGAAAGTAATAAAAGTAAATTTGACATGAACAGGTGCAGTACCCGTGTAAACATCTGAAATCTTTATTACTTTATTGACAAATGTTGACAAGTACATACAAACTTCATCTGCAACAAAGACAGCAACACAAAGCAATGCACTTTGTTTAAAGTCCATTTTTCTTGGTTCAAGCTGAAATCTGGCTCATCTATACTTCTTTTTTATTTTTAATATAGATGTTAGATGTCTCACCTTGAATGCAGAAAACAGCCGTAGTCATCATCTAACCATATCTGTAGTAAATATACAGCTGACTGGGAGAGTTCTCTATGGGGATTTCTGTGTAGGTGGAAGTAAAGCTAAACCATGTGGATTCAAACTGGACACCACGTGAAGTCGTGTTAATGGGGGCTATTGGGATGCTTGGGGTCTGTTTACACCTGGTCACTTTTAAAGTGCCCTTTCATGGTCATCAATGGAAACTGAAGTTGATCTGCTGGTGACGTCTGGTACTGCAACCAAACAAAATATTACTTAGAGCAAATTTTTTGAGCTATTAACTTGAAATTTGTAATATAATTTGATCAAATATTTAGCTTTAAAGATCTGAATTTTTTAGGGTAATACAGGCTTTGTAAAATGAATATTTTATTAATATAATAAAATGGACATTTTTGTTATTTTCATAAACTTGAATGTAAATAACTATCACTTTTTTTCTGAAAGAATTACTATCTGATTTTTAATAATGGATCCATTTGCATATGACCAGATAAATGCATCTCTGCTCAGAGGATATTATTCTGATCTTCAAATCCCGCATTATATGCAAATTTAACTAGGTTACAGGTTAGAAATACTGCATTTTATTTAATTAGTAATATTATTTACTGAAATGTTAGCTATATTTCTTATTTGGCTTTCAAATTATTTCATATACAGGCTGTAAAACATTATTACAAGCGCACAAGGTGGGCTCTGTGATTACTTTCATTACAGGCTTAATGAAACATCTATTTTTGTCAGATGCGTGCAAGACCTTATTCAAAACTGTAAGGGGTTTACAATAATTTGTGTATTACCCAGTTCCCAAAAAATAAAGCCACATGCCTTTGTAAAAAAAAACACTATATAATAATAATAATAATAATAATAATTATTATTATTATTATTATTATTATGATTGGCCTCTTTATACAGAGAGATGCTACAGGTCTTTGTTTTTAATGCTGCCATCTGATATTAATTTAATCATTTTACAGTCAAAAGCAAAACAAAAGGTTTTAAATAAAACTAAACATTTAAAACAAGTTAAAAAGCATTACTTTGGTACAGTAATCCAAATTAAATTGCAAAATGAAGTTGTTAGAAACCTAAATAACTTTTTTTCTCTTCAGCTACATTATGAAAAGTGTCTTGAAATCGACACCAAGCTTAAACC